CCTACCCCTTCCAGTGCTCCATTGAGGACCCCACCAAGCAGACCAAGTTCAAGGGCATGAAGAGCTACATTGCCTACAAGCTGGTGCCCAGCCACACCGGGCAGCAGGTGCACCGTCGCTACAAGCACTTTGACTGGCTCTACGGGCGCCTGGCTGAGAAGTTCCCTGTCATCTCCGTGCCTCACTTGCCTGAGAAGCAGGCCACCGGCCGCTTTGAGGAGGACTTCATCTCCAAACGTCGCAAAGGCTTGGCTTGGTGGATGGACCACATGTGCAGCCACCCTGTGCTGGCTCAGTGCGATGCCTTCCAACACTTCCTCACCTGTCCTAGCACGGACGAGAAGGCCTGGAAACAAGGCAAGCGCAAGGCTGAGAAGGATGAGATGGTAGGTGCTAACTTTTTCCTGACCATCAGTGTCCCCACAGGCCCTGGGGCCAGCCTGGACTTGCAGGAGGTGGAAAGCCAGGTAGATGGCTTCAAAGCCTTCACGAAGAAGATGGATGAGAGTGCCCTGCAGCTTAATCACACGGCCAACGAGTTTGCCCGCAAACAAGTCACTGGTTTCAAGAAGGAATACCAGAAGGTGGGGCACTCCTTTAAGTGCCTCAGTCAGGCGTTTGAGCTGGACCAGCAGGCCTTTTCAGCTGGCCTCAACCAAGCCATAGCCTTCACTGCAGAAGCCTACGATGCCATCGGGGACCTCTTTGCAGATCAGCCACGGCAGGACCTAGATCCCGTGATGGATTTGTTAGCGCTGTATCAGGGGCATTTGGCAAACTTTCCAGACATCATCCATGTCCAGAAAGGTAACATCCTTACATGTTTTCTGAAATGATTGAGTTTTATGTATCAGTAGTATGCATGCAGATGTAGGGACCAGGGGCTAAATTTGCCCTGCATCTGGCTTGCCGGCCTTGGGTTAAATCTTCCCACGTTTGTTCAGGTAAGCATGTTAAAAATAAAAAAAACAAATCAAGTGACAGTTTTTGTTCTGTGCCAAAGGTCTGGACATAATTGGGAATTTGACTGGTCAGAGGTTGCTGCATTCGGCTGTGTGTCTTTGAAAGAAACCACATCTGCCTATACTGCTGATTCAATTAAAGATTAATGAGCTTGTTTACAAACCCTGGAAATCAAGTGGTATGAAAACACCTATTACTCTTTACGCATGTTAGGTGTCTTAACTCTCTGATCTACCAGGTAATAAATATAAAGGAATCTGAAGATGCAGGTTGTCCTCCCATTAACCACCTTCTTTGAGGTGTACATGGTGGTATGTGCGTTTTGCAGTGTCAGACAGTCATATGGGATGTTTAAAGCTGCTGAGGTTTCTCAGTTTGGCCATGCATTAAACTCTCTTGGTGCCTTTGAAAGTATAATGGTCTGCCACAGGGTTCTTAGTTGGAGTTTTTCATCCTTTGCTCCTATTATCATAAAGAGATGTTGCTCACCTGTTACGCTTTCAGCATCTTTCTAGCTGAAACATGCTTCTGAGGTTCAGATTGCTGCTTGTATGGTGCTTTGTGATCTGGCAGAGAGAAAGAAACTCTGGAAAATAAAGCATCTCTGCTTCGTAACTAGTGACATTTGTTCAGAGGAACAGAAGTTTGTAGCGCTATGTATGTATAGACAATTTCTCTGCAGTGAAATTAATGATATTCTTATATTCTCCATTGTGAGCAGACTAGCCCTCATTCATTCTTTTTGCTGTTATATACCTTACCCATAGCTTTCAACTCCCAAGATAAGGGAGGTGTGGGGATTGGAGCTGTGAAAGAGGTCAAGAAAACATACATACGCTCTGCGGAAATGGACGTATGTAACAGTTACCTGAGAAAATGCATGAGCTTTATTGAGAATTAATTTGGAGGTTAGTAAGCGATGTTCTGCATCCCAAGAGGCAGAGCTTGAATTGTCACCCACAGTGAATCAGTCTTTTGTGTCCTTACATGACATTTCCAGGGTGTTTGCATCTGAAACAGGACCTTGAGTTTGATGATAAAAGAGTTGGGAGAGGTTTTTTTGAAGAGATCAAAAAGGCAGGCTTCCGGGAGGTATGCATTATTGCTGGGAAGATCCAAGGAAACATTTTGCACAAGTGTGCAATTTGTTGTATTTAATAAAGAAAGCTGTTCATGAAAATTGCATACATCAAATTCACATCTCCATTCTGCTGTCAAATCTTGAAAATCGTGAGTGGAAATTTAAACAGTAGTAATACAATTTTGAAGAGAAGAGGGAAGTGTGCAGTCTAACCTCTGAGCAGTTATTCTGCTGGCTGGTGCGGCGTGTTCTGATAACAGCTTACAAGTAATTTAAATTTGTAGTGAAGGGCAGCCTTGTCAATGCCTTGTGTTTAGGAGTACAGCATTTTTAAAGTGTGTTGTCAATAAATTATAGGATTATATGTAAGCCGTTAGAAAAAAATAAATGGAAGGATTTTGTATTAGGTGGAAAAAACCAGAAGATTATGTACACTATTTAAATAATATATCATCAGGCTTTAAGGCTACATGGATTCTCCACTGCATAATTTTTGGAGATGTGACTTTGAAGAGAGGATTTGGAGCAAGATATGTGCTTAACTCAACCCTCTTTCTTCTACAGTTCTGCGTGAATTTGCGCATACTGCTGGTTAGGTTTACCTTCTTGGAGGAAAGTTCATCTGAGCGTGCTTCCACTAGAGCAATACATGAGCGTGACGCAGGTAGAATTGATTTTGTGCCAGAGCACTGTCCTGCAGCTGGTTGGAGAAACGTACAGCCAGCCTGCATGCAGCTCTTAATGCTCCAGCACCTCTGGGCTAACGGTGCCCTTGCCATCCAAAAATGGCATGGGCTTGAGAGGCTGGCACCTTGCCCATCCGTGTTCATGATAGAAACAGGGTTAGAACAGGGTTATGTGTTCGTTGTTGTCATTCCTGTCACAAAACAAGCAAACAGGAGGAAAACTGAGAGGAAAAACGTTTTTTTACACCCAGTGTACTGCTGTTTTGTTATTCTTCAAAGTTACTTGTAGCAAGGTATAACTTTTCAATTCCAAACTGTAAACTTCAGATGAAAATACGAACTGTTTGATATTATTACATCATAAGAGCTTTCTTTTAAATTTACTGTCTGAAATAGTAGCCAATTTTGAGAATTATTATTGTCTGTACAGACTAAACAAATACCTGGTGATGGTCATAGATCATCTGAAAAATAGAGTTGATGTGTTTTTCTTCAAGTGTTTTATTTTCTACTGTACATCTTTGTGCAGTAAAATGGCCCCAAAAGTGACCTTGGAAGTGGTAGAAACAGTAGCCAGGTTGATGCATTGCTTTCATGGCTGTGCTTTTAAAAAGATTAACTCTGAAGTTAGGGGTAGTTCTCCTTTGTTTTCTACATAGTGCAAATATATTGTCCATTTGGGATAAAAAACGAGGTGATTTCCAGACTGCATGTCTGGATTTCCCTAGACCTGAGAAGGACCAGAAAATAAAGGCAGTTGTGCCCAAACCATGCCCGTGTCTGTGGGTAGAATATTCAACTGCATTGTCCTGTCATGTGTTTGCTGTACAGGAGACAGTTGAACAGCTCCTGAATGTGATTCAGAAGTGTGTTTTGTGGTATGGACTGAGAAGTCTGCTTGTCTGGTTTTTTTAAATCATTTTTTCAACTTCTGCAAGAAGGACAGAGAATCTCTAAATCAGAGACAAAATTTTCTGGCTGTTTAGGCTTTGTCTTTTCTTTTAGAATTAGAAACCAAAGCCATGCAAGCCCCGCTGTTGCTTTATTGGTGAATTAGCAGGAAAATGTGTTAACTGTTGTGCTTTTATTTGCTCCATGGTCCAGGTCTTACTGCATCCTGTGTTGAGGACATCATACATGATCTGAAGTGCGTCATTTTGGTCACTTGTGTGAAACGTGAACCAGTGGACTATGGGAATATTTTTGGACTGTTTATTAACTTACTAGTACCATGAGCATTATATGAAATGGCAGTAGTTGCAGTGGGAGATTTTAAAAGATTCCTTCTGCCTCCTTCATCTCAAGCTCCTAGTGTTTAAGGAATTTTCTGTGAGAGAAGGAAGAGTTGAAGTTCCTGTTTCAGAAGAGACAGAGGAAAGATCTGAACTTTTCTGTCCCACATGCCATTTGAGGTTCAACTTGTCAGCACTTTGTGAGAGACCTTACCCGGTTTCATGTGTGCTCCAGTCCAGGTCTAAAGATTTAATTGGATGGAGCCCTACAGCAGAGAACACGCTGAGTTGGAAACCCTATGTCTCCATTTGGAAGTGCTTGGTTTGAGAGTCCCAGTGAGCCTGGCACTGAGCATATCAGCCCCAAGGCATACCTCCCTTACAAATGAGTTGTTGTTTTATAGGTTTTCTTTGGAAAATAAGGCAATTAGGGAAAAACTGGCACCTGCAGGGGTAGATGATGGCAAAGTGGTGTCTTGAGCATCTAAGCACCCAAATACTTGTATGAATCTAGCCATCAACCCTCCGTAGGTAAATGCTTCTGAAGTTCTTGCATGAAAGTATTCCTGTGCATACCTGTGTTTCTTGGAATGGAAGATCCAAATATGTTAGATATACTTGTACTCAGCTTTTCTTTAGCCTCTGGCAAAATATTTGTATAAGAGAAATATTAAGTTCAGTCGGCTCAAAACCTAAGCTACACTTCTGTAATTTTCTTCTGTAGAACTCGAGTGTTTTTCAAGAAATAACTAGTTTCAGTTGCTTTGATTTTGAAAAGAAAAGCAGCCTTCAAACTTCATTTGTAATTACTTTGTGTGTGTGTGTGTTTTTAAGGTCTACTTGTGGAAAATCCCTAAGCAGTTTTCACAAAATAATTCCTAAATATTAATTGCTAGAGCTTCACTCAACTGATGAGATCTTCTGACTTCAGTAATCTTCAACATAAATGTTCACTGCAGGCCCATGCAAGTTCAGATTCAGAAAGTTTATGCATATGTGAGAGTTTGACATCATGTATGCTTGTGCTCCAGCTCATGCTTGTCTGGCTGTCTTGTCTTCATATTTGTTTAGTGAGAGTAGGGAAGTTAGAGGTTTTGGGATTTCTTTCTTTTAACTTTTTTTTGAGGCATTACTATAATTGGCCTTTTGTGATTCCTGAAAGAGGAAGAAATACTAACTCACCATTTCATCTCTGCTTTCCAGATTTCTCCTTTTTCTTAACATTATGGTGTCAATGTTAGACAAACTTTTGATTATGATTGTTGCAAAAAAGGTTTGAGAAAGTGGTCTAAATGTTTTCTCAGATGTAGGCAGCAATTCTATTTTCTGCATGCCAAAATTTAAGATAATTATTTTTTTAAAATAACCAAGTGACCCACTGTTTGTGAAAACTAAAATAAAGCAAATGGTCTTATTTACTTGAAGCAAACGTAATTCTAGACATTGGCTTTAAAGAATGTGTTGAGTGTGTTTTTAGAATGTCTTAAAAAATTAAAGGCAAAAAAACATTCCAGCTGGAAATGCATCAGAATTTCAAGCATCAAGAAAAACATAAACAGCATTGAAACCTGGAACTCTGTAACATTTTCAGCAATGTTGTTTTTGCAGGGGGAAGGAGACCAGTATGCGTGTTCATGAATAAATCAGACTGGTCAAAATTCATACCTAAAATTTTATATCACAGTGTAAAAGCAGTGCTTTTCTCTCTTGCTTACTTTCCAGCCTCTTGATTTGTTGTGCAGATGTGTTTTATTCCATCCCTGTTTTTACTTTTATCCACCTTTTTTTCTTCCCCCTCTGTCCCTCCAATACATACACTTTGCATAGGTTCAACTCAGGTAGCTG